CCACAACCACAGAAATAGTTCACACTTACAGGGTCACATGACATTACTGCATATCTGTTTACATATGCAGACATGGTGGATGTAGGTTCTCCCCACAAGAAACCTGACACTAATTATCTTGAACCTAAATGATAAGGAATTGCAGGACCTTATCTACTTTCATAATTCTTTAAAAAGAAACCAGAAAATTCCAAAAGCCACATGCATTTGCATGTTGGCAAAGAAAACATGGCAGTCAAAGGAGGCAGGCCACATGATGCAACACTATTTGAATAACTAAAAAAAAAAACACTTTTCATACGATGTATCACATGATTTATCACTTTTACAAAAACAATCATACAAACGAGGCTCACAACAGGGAATTTCTCTGGCAGTACAACACATAAAACAGTGTTCATGTGATCTATTGCATGATTTATCAATTTTTAATTTTTTAAAAAAAAAATGCATTGTAGAGAAGCGATTAATTGCTCAAATCACAGGGCCTTTGCAGACTGCCAGAAATAATGCACATTAAATTGAGGCACTGCCCTGGCTCAGTGCTAAGGAATCATGGGAACTGTAATGTTTTGTGGCACCAGAGCTCTCTGACAGAGAAGGCTCAATGTCTCAGCAAAAAATACAATTCCCATGACTCCCTAGCACTGAGCCAGGGCAGTGCCTCAATTTAATGTGCACTATTTCTGGCAGTCTGCAAAAACAGTGCACTTATGTTTTCAGGCAATTTTTTTTAAAAAAAATACTGTGTGAGAATAATTCCTTGGAACCTTCCATGGGGACCTGCTTCACCGGGGTATCCGGGAAAATGTGCCTGACATCTGTCGCCGTTGTTAGCTTTTTTGCCTTCATGATTGCTTCACCTGCAAAAAATTCTTTAGGTTCCCCCCAAAAGGGCAAGATCACTGCTCCACTCCTGTTCCTATTTGCAATCTGATTTGCCTCTTTAAACTTGTGTTTAAGGGGATTGGCTTTGGTGTGGCATTCCATAGCAATTCGATCATGGCCTTTGGCCCTCATCTGCTCTGTGATATTTTTATTATGGTTTATTATGTAGTGGGAATGAAACCCAGTTGAGTCTTCTTCTTTGGAGATTTTTAAACAGAGGCTGGATGGCTATCTGCCGGGGGTGTTTTCCCTGTTTGTTCTTTCATGGCAGGGGTAGGACCAAATGGCTCTTGTGGTCTCTTTCAACTCAATGATTCTATAGTAAGGGTATGTTAACAAAACAAAATTGTCAAAGTAGGTTAGGCAAGCCCAGTTGATAATTTTATTTTAATTGGTTCAAATATGTCACTCCATCCTGCTGGGATAGGCACCACAAAGCTTGATGTGAATTCCAAATTAATCTCTTTATTAATTGACTCTTCACTTTTCTGACCCTTGCTGAGGAGTACTGTGTGATGATTGGAAAGGCAGGAGATATTTTTTAACACTGCCAAATCATGATAATCCTCATAGTCCCCTAGGTCCAAAACACACTGCAGAAATAATTCAGTTTGAGACTGCTTTAATTGCCCTGGATCAATGCTAGGGAATTCTGGAAACTCTAGTTTTGTGAGACATTTAGCTTTCTCTGTCAGATAGCTCTGGTGCCATCACAATTACAATTCCCAGGAATCCCTAGCGCTGAGCCATGGCAGTTAAAGCAGTCTCAAACTGGAGTATTTCTGCCATGTGTTTTGGATTCTAGTTTTACTTTTTCCAGAAGACTGTTTTTCAATTCTTTCTTACAAAGGCTTTCTTTTCTTTTCTTTTCTTTTCTTTTCTTTTCTTTTCTTTTCTTTTCTTTTCTTTTCTTTTCTTTTCTTTTCAGTTTGCACAGCCAGTGGGAATTGAAGTTCAAAAATATTGTTTTTTCAAACTTTAAAGTTACTCAAGTCTCTCCCTCAGAGTTGCCCATAGTGACAGAATCATTGAGATGTCAAACTTGTCCACTGTGATGAGTATTTGCATTAAGGAGCCTTGCTCTGAGCACAGTTGAAACAGAGAAATTGTACTGTGGTTTTAAAAAAGATAACAGTCCTTAAAAAGTTACATTTTAATACTTGTAGGGATAGATAAATTGATTTCTTTTTGTTCTCTCTTCATTTTTGCATGTGCTGATCCATAAGTTCATTCCACTCTGTTTATGCACTAATTTTCTCCTTTAAAGAGAAAAACCTTGTTTCATATTTCATATTCTCATTTCAAAGTACATATTCTCAAATGCATATTTGTCACAAAATTAATGTTTCATCTGCAGATATGGATTTTAAACTTTTTTTAAAATCATGCACTCTACTGCAAAAGTTGGAGAACTAAATAAAAAAATTTGGAGACATTTCAGGGCAGTATTCAATTAACTCTACAAACCAACTACCCTCCCTTTTTTGCTGAGATCCCGTGCAGGTCCTCAAACTTTGCATCAGAAAAGCAAATACACTACAGATCAGAATTAGAGGAGTGGAGTGGGTTGTAGAAGGAAAACAGAATTTCCATTGCCTGCATGGAAAGTCCATTCATGCAATGTTGGGCTTTGCCCAGAAGGATTACTACATTTCAAGCCACTCATTGATCTAGAATATGCAAATCCCATCAGATCAAGAAACCTCACAAAAATATATATATGAATTTTTTTAGAAAATATTGACAAATGCTTTAGTGCACCATCACAAGGGCTTCCCATGGATATTTAGATAGGAAGTACAGATCAGTCTAAATCACTTTCATATAGAATCATAGAATACTAGAGATGGAAGAGACCACCAGGGCCATCCAGTCCAACCTGCTGCCATGCATAATCTAAGCACTTCTGACAGATGGCCATCTGGCCTTTGTTTAAAAACTTCCAAAGAAGGAAACACCACCATTCTCCAAGGCAGAATATTTCACTATCAAACAGCTCTTATGGTGAGGAGGTTCTTCATAATGTTTAGGTGGAATCTCTTCCTATAGCTTGAATCCATTTCTCCATGTCCTAGTTCTAGAGCAGCAGAAAACAAGCTTGCTCCATCCTCAATATGACACCCTTTCAAATATTTAAACCTGGCTATCATGCTACTTCTTTACTTTCTCTTCCCTAGGCTAAATATATCCAGTTCCCTAAGCTGTACCTCAGAAAGCATGGTTTCCAGACCTTTCACCATTTTGGTGGCTGGCGGCTTCCATGTCATTGGGGTGGTGGATTCATGTTTCAGTTCCAGCTTTAAAGGAGCAATCCAAGGTGCTTAACCCTATTTCTGATGGGTGTCTCATTTTGGATAACATCTTTAAAGCAAGCCAAAACCTGGATTGGAATCATTGCCATACTGACATAGGAGCCATCAGCCACCACTGGTTTCACGTGTATTCTAATTTTTTTTCATTCAGGGATCAAGCAGATGAGCAGAAAAGAGCAGCCTGAAACTGCTTTCTACCAAAAGTGGGCCAAGACCCCGTTGACTTCACTGCCCATTCCCAAGGTGGGCCACATGTGTATGCCATGAACATAAGGCACAGCATCAAGCTGCACTTCTGGGTAATTCTTTAAAATTTCCCCCCACCATGCAGAAACACACTGCTGATGACTGCCTTCTGCCCATTGGATCATGCACAAAGTTGCACCTGCAATCTTAGGGCAGGTCATCAGAGCAGAGAAGTGCCCAGTAAAACACTGGCAATGCACAATCATGCTCCCTTTACATGCTCTCTTCACTCCCCTTTCACCCCATGCCCTGTTTCTGTATGTCATACTTATACCCATTAGAGGTGTCACATTTTCCCTTTTTTTGCATTGCTAGCCCTACCGCTGGTTCTGTCCTTTTTAAATGCTCACCTAGACTGGTGCATTTATACGCAGCTTTAGGGATAGGGTGGAGCATTCCTTTGGGACTGGTCTTGCATTGAAGGTGCACACTTTTTGGGCTAGAGAGGTTTATTTCTGCTTCTTTTCAGTTTGGCTTTTCCTCCCTTAGGACGTTATCACACGGGGGAAATCTGCTGGTTAATCCACACAAATCCCAAACAGAAACTGGATTTGTGCCTCACGATTTCACACGACGTCGCACAGAAACTGGACAGAAACTGGACAGAAACTCATGTTATCCGAGATCTTTTGAAATTCAGTAGTTTTGAGGAAATGCATTTGCGAAATTACAGTAATTTCGCATTTACCATAATGTGAAAAGCAAATGCGCATTTTGGAGCATTTCCCTGCTTTTTCCCATGGTTCCATGGTTCCACGGCGAGCATTCCTCTATCTGCACATGTGCAAGAAGATCATTTCTAGTACATTTAGGGGCTTTTCTCACTTGTGTGTGAACATCAAATGTGCTGACTGTAATTTCGCAATTAAGGTAATTACGTGTGAAAGCCATTCGCGGAATCAAGGTTTATTTTCGGTTTATTTTCGGAATGCCTCATTTTCACTTTATTATCGTTTTCTGACCCACGTGTGATAATGTGCTTAGAGTGGCTGTAATGTGGTTTATGTCCATTTTGGGGTTGTGCATCATCTAAACACCACACCCACAAAGTGGCCTGAAACTGCTTCTTTTGGCCTGTCTGTTTGAGGCCTCAGTTTCTGTATCTGCATTTGGAAGGGGCATCCTGATAATTGTAGTAAGTAGGTTTTTCCTATTCCATTCAGGATGCCTATAAAGAAAGAACGATAACTTTGAACATAATGGTAAACTTGTCTGTTTCTGCTAGATTATGTTCTTTGTCCTTGCACAAGCTTGCTGCACTGTATGGGACTATTTTCAGATTCAGCTACCTGAAGTTAAGCCCCATTGATATTAATGGGAGAATTTAGCAGAGACAGGAATTAAGTGTTTAAAATCTATTTAAGTTTCCAATTATTTTAAAAATTTTCTAGCGAAAAAGGCAATTAAATTTAATTTTTGTCTAAAATGATTGACTTCAACTGAATTTTAGCATTATCTTTTATTTCAGAATCATTTTATGAATTAACTAAATGAGAGACAATGCTAAAACCCAATAAATTTTACATTTGTTGACTGGTACTTTACCTAATGAGAGCCAGCATAGTGTAGTGGTTTAAATGTCAGACTTGGACTCTCCAGATCAGGGTTCAAATCCCCACTTGGCCATGCAAACCCACTGGGTGATGTTGGGTCAGTCATTCTCTCTCAGTCTCAGTGGAAGGCAAAGGCAACCCCCCACTGAACAAATCTTGACTAAAAAAACCCATGATAGGTTACAATAAGTTGAAAATGACTTGAAGGCACACCTCACCACCACCACCTCCTAAAAGCTAGGTCTCCTGGATTTTTGCAGAACTGCTTTTCTTTATTGTTTGTCCCTCAAAGTTGGAGAATTGCAAGGTTTAGGTTATAAGATCCAAACCACTTATGGCTAGTGCTAAGAGTGAACTGCGTTAAGGGTTTTTGTTCCCTCTCAAATGAATTTCTAAAAATAATAAAGAATCCATATTAATGAAGGCAGTCATTTTTTAAATATGTATAAATCTAGAGGACTTCAGAAAGTTCTAGAACAGTGGTGAAGAACCTATGGCATGCTTTCCAGAGGAGGTATTCAGAGCCCTCTCTATGGGCATGTGCGCTATCGCCCCAGCACAGAGTTCACCAGTTTGTTGCTAGAAAGCCAGAGGGATGCAGCACTTTGTAATAAATAAGTGAGTTTTGGATTGCAGTTTGGGCACTTGATTTTTAAAAGGTTCACCCCATCACTGTTCTAGAAACACTTGAAATTCATGAGAAGTAGGGATAAGAAGTGGAAGAGGATCATTTCTCCAACGTGTATTTTCAGAGAACTTTCTCCTCTACATTACCAAACACTTTGGCTGAACACTGCCATTGTGTAACCAACTGTGTATCTGCCAATGTGCTTGCTTATTTTTGCATTGTGTAATGGGAAATGCTATTGCAGTGGCTCCTTCTACAATCCTGGTGAATCAAGTTGAAGGCACTGATAAATAGCAACATAACATCCCAGAATGGACAGTTGTTTGCCTGGAATCCTGTTGGTAAGTCCTAGCTAGATTTGTTGTGGTTGTGTGTTTTCAACTTAATGTGACCATAAGAAGAGCCTATTATATGATTTTCTGGGGCTGAGAGTGTGTGACTTGCCCAAGGTCACCATGTGGGTTTCCATGGCTGAGCTGGAAAATGAATCCCAGTCTCCAGAGTCGTAGTCCAACACTCAAACCACTACAGCATTCTGCTATATTAGATCTATTGAATGAATGGCTTAAGTTTAGGACCACATGAAAGAGTTATGTTTCTAGAACTCTGCTTGTCCACCTATGAGCTGAGTGGGTGTGAGTGTGTCCATGGCAAAATGGCCAAAATGTACTACATATGTAAAGGGACTTATACATTATGTATGACACTAACAACATTCTGTCCAATAAAGAAAATATTTTTCTCCAAAGAAGAATTTTTGTCCAACAAAGCAACTTTGGGAAGATTTGTGTGCATTAATAGTTGCAAATACAGCCCACTCATCTAAATGGGAATTAAAAGTGCAATGAATCAGATTAAGGCAGTTAACAAAAACAACAAATATAGATGGCAAAAATAAGGTTTTTGGATTTTTTTAAGAATTTTCTGTTGTTGAATATTTTCAAGCAGCAGATGGTTGAATCCATGGATGCAAAATCCATGGATATGGAGGGCTGACTGTACCTTCAAGTCAGCTCCTACTTATGGAACCCTATCCTAAGGTTTTACTGATAAGATTTATTCAGAGGATATTTTATCACTACCTTTTTCAGGCTGAGAGGATGTGACTTGCACAAGGTCATCCAGTAGGTTTTCATGGCTGAGCAGGGGTTCAAAGCATGATCTCCCAAAGTCCTGTCCAGTTACACCATGCTGGCTCCTGTATATGTGCCTACTCAGAAGTAAGCAATTTATTCCCAGGATAGTGCATTGAATAAGGATGGGGGTATAAATAATACCAGGTGATGGATTTCTGCTCCCATCATCCCTAAACCTTGGATATTCTGGATAAAAATGATCAGAGTTTCAGTCCAGAAATGGTACATGGGCCATATATTCACTGCATGTGGAGTAAAGGATCGCAGCCCAAATATTTGCAGTCCTAGAGACAGATCCCTGTTAGGTCAGCCTATAAGGACCTAATGGGCACCTTTCAAATATTTGCTGTTACTGCTTCTATTAAAATGTAATTTCTCAACTATGCTCCACATTTCTAATTTCCATGCTCTCTGCAGTTTTCAACAATCAACTCTATAGATGGCATCTTTGACAAGAATTATACTTTATTTAAGGCCCATGAGCATGTAATTTTATTCAAAGCCTTGCCTGATTACCTAGCCATGGTAATTTTAAAGTGATCCCTACTGCTGCGCAATGCATCATAAAATCACATCCTCATTAAAATAGAAGCCTAAGAGCTGAAAACCTTTCATTGATGCTGGGGTTTGCAAAGAAAAACACACCATAGCCTGAGGTGTAACTCCACAGTGATAGTAGGGGACTATTTTAAGAGATAGAAATTGTGCTGAGTTGTAGGCAATATAAGGTGATAGAGCATGAGAAGTAGCTTCATATGGAGGTTTTTCCCATCAAGACTATAATCCATCTCTTGAGAGGGCTATAGGACTTCTTCCTACTGGGTTCTCCAGCTTCACTCTTCTAGATCCCCCCCTCAAAGCTTCATAATAACCAACCCTCCATAAAACTCCCAAAGAGAGGAGGCACACATCAGCATAGGCTTCTCTAGACATTCCTTCCAGTACTTTTGTGGTATCATGATTGCTCTGTCCTGAACTCTTCCTGGGAGGTTCCAGTGAGGACTTCCATGAGGAGGTTCAGTGAGAGGATCAATGAATGTCTGTTTTGCCTTTTGCTGTGATTTTTTATCTTGTGTGTGTGTGTGTGGCTAATATATTGTGCGGCATGTTGCTTGAAAAGTTAAAATAGGTTAAAATGAGGGCATACTTGGAAGGAAGGTTTCCAGATCCTTTTTACTTGCTTGGAGACATCTTAGCCCACAAAAAAAGCTTCAGGAGATGTGGAAAGGGTGCAGAGATGGCTTCTAGAGGAGGCCAAAACCACCCCAAATGATATAAGCTGATCTCATGTGCACCCATGACCATTGTCTCCTGTCCCAAAGATTTGCCATCTAAACATGCAAGAATATGATTTGCTCCTATACTGGTCCTGAGTTACCAACATTATTTAAAAGACCATATTATTATCACCTACAGGTGTATACCTCAGTTAAAGTTAAAGAAATAGATGTGTTCCTAAACATTACTTCTTTATCAGAAAGTTTGGTACCAGAGACAGAAACACCACAAAAAAGAAGAGCAATTCAACATTTGTGAGCAATTTAAACCTAACAATAAACATGCATGAAATAAAACAAGCAGATAAGCCTTGCATAAAAATTAAAAACATTTGAACCTGTTAGAGAGAACTTGATGACTTCTTTCAAAGTGCATCCAATGGTGACTATTCTCTTCACCATTCTCAATTTTTCTTTTCCATTTTGGTGGTCAAAAATCATAGCTCTATTTTTTTAAACATGGGGACAGCTAGTGAAGTAGACTCATCTGTTGTCCTCATTTTCCCCCTCTGTATCGCTGCTCACAAATGCTCAGTAAATTCTCTTTTTAGAATATTGTTGTGTATTGTATTATTTATTTTGTAAGCTTCTGGGAATATGTTTTGTAAAAAAAAAAAACTAAGGGAAATAAATAGACCAAATAAACAAAACCAGGACAAATTGTGGCCCAGTATTGGACTGTAACTTCTTCCAGTCCTATCCAGGATACCAAAAGCAGGAGGGATGGCAGGAGTTCCAACCTAACAACATCTGGAATGCCACCACTTGCCCACCTCTGTATTAAAATGAACTAATTCAGCCTTACTGTGTGTTAGCAAACATTAGCAATCTGTGCTTATGCTGTTGTTGTTCTGTGCCTTCAAGTTGTTTTTGACTTATGATGACCCTAAGGTGAACCTATCACATGGTTTTCTTAGCTAGATTTGTTCAAAGAGGGTTTGCCATAGCTTTCCTCTGAGGCTGAGAGTGTGTGACTTGCTTAAGGTCATTCAGTCTTTCCATGGCTGAACTTGGCTTTCATGGCAGAGAGTCAAACCCTGGCCTCTAATGTTATAGTCCAACATTCAAACCAAAACACCACACTGACTCTACCTGTGCTTTTACATGTTAGTCATTTTAAATATTTGAAATTTTAATCGTATGTGCTGTATGCATCTTGCTAGCCTCCCTGAGCTGTTGAATTACAAACCAAAACAGTAGTTGTAGTGGTAGTAATAACAATAGTATTAGTTACAGTAATGATCCTTTTTATTGAAGCAACAATGATTCAGGATGCTAGAGGATTTTTTTTTTTTTGGTGCCTGATTTTAAAGTAAACTACTCTTTGCATTTTCTTTAGTAGTTTGCACACCAGAGTGCAGTAATACTTCAATATTTACACCTCTCTGAATTTGTGATACAGTGCTTGGCTCTCAAAATAATATACCAAATTCATATAAAGTATGTATTTTAGTGTAGAAAGTATACAGAAGTGACTTTTAAGATAAACGGCATACCAAAATGTTTAATTTGCGGGAGGGGTTGTAATGCATACAAAAATGCACATTGTGCTTCAATAGTAACTTAAGTGTGTTTATATATATCAGTTTCGTTTAGAAATAGCAAATTGATTCAGAAATGGGATGGCACAGATTGATGAATGAACACATGCAATATCATAAGTAGTCTGGAATAGGCTGATCTATCCCTCCCAAATGCAGGGGCTATACCAGGTCATTTACCATGGTAATTGTAGAATCTGTTGTGCAAACCACAGCAACACAGAAATGGTGAGAGGGGAATAATAGAGAAAGTAGGCTGCCTGCATGCAGAGTTTCTAGGCCTAAGAATAACACAACATGGCCATGGATATTTTAGCTCTATTCTCCTCCATTTTTACTCCTCACCTGTAATTCTACTTATATGAATGAGACAAACAAAATAAATGTCAAGTAAACAGAGAAAAATAAGTGAATGAGTATGCATATGAGCATGTACCAGAGAAAATCCTCTACAATTTTTTCCATGACATTTCTTTCCTGTTGACATGTA